GAGGTCTGGTTGACAGAAGGAGAGGCCAGAGAGGGAGGTCTGTGGCTTTCCATGGCCTGGTTGTATTCAACCATAAGAATGCAGCTTGGATAACATATCCTTTGGGACCTATTCTAGATGTAGGTAGCTTTTAAAGACACATAGATATGTTTTTAATGAATGTAGGTATTTCACTGCTTTTTGCAAGTGGAAACAGCTTTCCTGAGCACACTCCAGACTGTCACACTCCCTTATGCAGCTTTTAATAACCAGGCAGAAGCTGGAGAACAGCATAGTCATAACCAGTCTTTTTCTCTACAAAATCCTCGTGTTGTAAAGAAAGAAATTCGTCAGAAGCTGAACTTCTATGCATCATTCATTTCTATTTGTACCAATACTTGCTTCTGCAGGTCAGTAATTGCTTCTTGCCCTGCACAGCAATGAAAAGCAGACCAATAATGCCACCCACAGGTGTCTGGGGTTATTGCTACCACGGATTTCGAGATGGGTTTTCTGATCTTGCAGTTAACTGGAATGACAATTCTAACTCGATAGTGACAGTGCAGGTGAATTCAGAGGCATCTAAGAACTACACTGCCCAACCTGTTTTGGTACTGCTTGGTTAGAGAGCTTACATGTTACTGTGCAGATGGCTTGTTTTCACTACAAATAATTGGGGTGTAAACCTAAACAGATGACAAAATAGAAATTAAAAACTAATAAACCCCTCCCTTCTCAACACTCAGTGATATGCAGGTCTGTGAAAGCCTTTCAAACAATCAACACCATCCACTTTTTAAATTAAAAACATCCAAGCACACTGTAATAGCATGTATCATATTTTGTCTTATTTTATTTTGCTGTTCCTATCTCAGAGATCCTTCAACTGAGCTGACAAGGACTGTGATGATTTAAGAGTTCCTCTTCACAGAAGACAAAAGACATCTGAAATAAGAGCTCAATCTTCGATATGACTGAAGCAGGGAGAGTTGTGCTCACAGATACCACACTCATTCTTTGTCTTATGTCCCTTATCAAGTTTATTAAGAATCTCTGAACAGAAACATTTTCAGCTGTTACCTGAACATTAAAATAGGATTTTGTGTGTAAAGTAAAAGGGATTAAAGGATATTTATTACCCTATTCCTCCTTTCTTTCAGAGCCACAGGACTCCAGAATACAAACAGTCTCGCAGAGAGGCTTGAGATCAGCTCACACTGCAGGGGAGGAGACAATGTTTTCTCTTATACGTGGTCTCTCTCAAAAGAAACTAAGGTGGGTGTGGGCCACTCAGGGGAGATAAAGCCCTTGTACTCTGCACAGACTTATTACATCTCATGGCTGGAATTAATTTACATCTCCTAGCTAGATTCACAGCAGTTAACTCTGAATTCTGCAAAGGCATGTGATGGCTCTGTATACCATAAATCCTCTTCATATTCTGTTGTGCCTCAGATCCTCACAAAAGGTCAATTCATCTGAATTTTCTAGGGTTTTCCAACAGTACAGACATTGGTGCCCTTACAGGAAATCTTGAAGGAGTCAAAAATACAGAGAAAATGGGTAAATACAGGATTTCACATTGCAAGTGTCTGCTGAAGAGTGGACTAATCCTAGCCAAAGTGTATTCACTACATGAAACAGTTTGTATGTGCTAAGATTGTCTTGGATTTCCACATCAACTGAATAATATAAGAAACTCAGTAAGGGAAACTTTGTGTATTGAAAAAAAATAATTTGAGAACTGACTTGTCTGAAACACGTTTAGTCTGAGAACTCAAAGATAAGCTATAGTATCCTGCCCTTCATCTTGTATTAGTAATATGTTATATTTTTCTTGTATGCAATTGTAGATATGGCACTTACATTCCCAAGTGTATGTTATTGCAGCACAGCATTAATAGCACCATAGTTTACACGTAGCATTAAGTTCTGTGCATTCATTGCACACAACCATTTAGCTTATTTTGACTTGTTTATTGCACAGAACGTATCAGCTGAGGCCAGATTTGAGGTAAATTAGAGACAGGGAGTGAAGAACATGAAACAGTTCTATCCTAATCTAACTAAAACACATTCACACTTTATTGATGAAGTTCATCAATACTCTTATTTAAAGACCTGGAGCTCTTGAGGAACAACTGTTGTTAAAAGCTTGCTATGACTGCTGGCACCATAGGTAAGAAGGTATTTCTGACACCAAAATGCTTTCTGAAGGACCTCTGAATTATCCAGGCTCATTAAAAAATCAAAGGCATCTTCTCCTGTCCTTAAATATTTGAAGAAAAAAAAAAAACCACCTTAGGTATTTAAGTAAACGGATTTTTCCTCATTAAAACTATATTTAAATACTTATAACCTTATCTTAATTACAGGAAAGGTGACACACCTACCTTTCACCCTCAGAGCCCCAGGGGACAAAGCCCATTTAGGGTGAGGGGGAGCTGACAGCAGATCCTGTAGCTGGGGCAGTGCTGGCACTGCTGGGCTCCCAGCTGCAGCCACAGAGACCCACGTCTCCAGCCCACAGGGCAGCCAGGAATTAAGCAGAACAGGGAGCTGAATCTGGCTTTCCCAGCACAAAACCCTTTGGAAGAGGAATAAATGGTAATGATTTTGTACAGCTACAACAGAGCAGTGCCTTAATTTTGGTCTCTACCCATTGCTGGGTCTCTGATATAACAGCAGCGCCAGACGTGCAGAGCAATTGCACAGCACTTGTGACACAGAACCACACGAGTAGTCCAGCTCAACCAACTCAAGCTGTCCCCCAAAACAAACATTTCTTTTTATACAATCATCAAAAGAAAAACCTTATTGGGTTTAAAGATGCACTGACAACACAAGACTGTTTGAACAGTTTTCCATTAGAAGTGCTGCATTTGTTGTCACACTGTTGCCACGTAGGATTTCACCAAGCAGACGATAACACATCTCATGACAAATAAGACCAAAACACCCTCCAGGCAGATTTATGGAAATCATCACTCACAGGCAAGTGTGGCAAGTGTGATAAAAAAGCATCAAGCTAACTTCAGAAACAGCAAAGCTACTTCCAAGGCGACAGCTCTATCTGGGTGATCTCGAGGACATGTTATCTGACAGTGGGACTGGATTGTGCTGATGTGAACGACTGCCTGCTTGGTGGCTTTGCTCCACTGGTCTGTCGTTGAGTAAGTGTCAGCTCACACAGACTGTTACATTTATGCCTCCATCCATCATAACCAGCACTGCCTGCTGACTCCCTAAAGAAAAGGCCGTTCACCAGGAAAACACCAGAGAGCAAATGCTGATTCATTGGGTGGTTTGGGTGGAGACAGATTGTCAAAGTGAGCTTGTGATTGGAGAAACTGAAACAGCTGGTGCATCTGTAGACACACCTGGACCTCCTGAATCTGGATAACAACTCTCCAGGGAATGATGTTCTCCCTGGTGGTCTACCCATGGAAAACAAGAGTGCAGGGTCCTCCTTTCTCCACAGAAAGCCCTTTTGCATTTGGCCCTTGGTGAAGGTAAGGAGGTGTTACACGAGGCACTTCAATTAAATATCCCAGACATCACTGAAAGCTGCTTTACATAGAGCTCCCACCTACTCACAGATATTCCATCCTCTGGACACAGTCTGCACCCAAACACCAAGCCAACATAAAACCCACAACCACAGGAGTTCATGACTCTGCCATGGGAGAAGACAGGGGCAACCCAACACAGAAGTTTGAAAGAGTTAAATAGAGTGGCCATAGGTTAAATCTCTAAAGATCTTTGGAAAATCCAGCACAACCATGCCTAGAATTGGACATTAAGTCCAATGTTTTCACAAATATACCCTGTGCCCATATTTACAGCTAAAATTCTCATATATCCAGAAAAAACACTATATTGCAATGGAGGAACACCAGCCCCTCAGTGTGTCACAATACAGTGCAGGCACTGAGACAAATAATGGCAAGTAGTAAGGGCTGTGCAGTGGGAAAAGTCTCACAACATGGAACCTGAGCTTTCCAGAAACTACTGGAAGTGGTATTGTTGCATGCTAGCAGAAGAGAGCTACTCAGAAAAGCAGTAATTAATTCCTTCTAGAAATCTGCAGATGGTACCATTTCCTTTGGGTCACACTGAAATGGAACAAAGAACAACAAATATATATTAAAATACACCAAAGATTTGCTCAGGAGAGGTTGTGAGTCCCTGTCCTGGGAGATGATGGCACTCACACATTGCCAGGCTCTGATTCAGAGGAAGAGCAGCAGAGGGACCTGCTGGAGGAAGGCCAGCCAGCCTGATGCCACAGGTGATAGGGCTGCCAGGCTTCCAGAGAGCCTGGAGTCTCCACTTGCTCCCTTGCTATTACATGTCAAGTGACTACACTCTCCAAAGGTTCCCAATCAGAGCTAACAAAAAAATCCTACTTTGCTTTCTATACATTTAGACCTGAATCCACTCCAGCTAAGCTGGGTTTTCTGCGCTGGACCCTTGCTTTGAAACACCTCTTACCTCCACACCCCTCCTGCCCCACACTCCCTCCACCTCAGTGCTGTTCTTGGGCTGATTCTTCAGATGTGAGCTGAGCTGGGCAACAGAATAAAGACAGGGAGTGAAAAGTGACCACCACTTTTGGCCACTTAATTTTCAGACAGATGAACTCTGACCACAGCTCACGACCAGAAATGTGCCACAGGCTTAAGAACATGAGCATGGGAAGGAACACTTCTGACCTGCCACAGCCTTCAAAGCAGAACCTTGCCAAAATCACACTCCAACAGAGACCCAGCAGGACATCACAATCATGTAATGCAAAGATTTACAGTGAGACATTTAAAAAGCACAACAGGGATCCCATCCCAGACCCACAACAATCCCCACAGGGAACCAGGCACTTTGTACCAGCGAGGAAAACCTGCAAAATTATGCTGTTGATACACTTTGCTGGATTGAAAGAGAATTACAAATGTTATCTGCTCCACTGGAATATCAAAAAGGAAACCCAGCCACAGCTCCAATGAGAAACAACAGATAAATACCTTGGCAGTCATCCAGCGAGGGTGCAGCTTGGGTTCATCCACCGAGAGGCAGTGGTAGAAAACTTCAGGCATGAATCCGTTTTTCAATTAGTCATAAGCCAGTAAAGCAGTATCTGCGGGGGAAAAGTATCAAAAAGTTTTCTTCTGCAAACAGAGTTCACCACGGCTGGCCCCACAAAGTCCACTGCCCCTGCCAAGCCCACACAGCAGCTCTCACAAAGGTGAACAAAGTAATTAGTAACACAGGTTGACAACATGAAGGTAACAGGTCAGAAAAAATGCTGCGGGGCACATTGTAGGGACTGGTTTGCTTCACCCAGCCATCACATCCAACTGTGGGAGCGCTCACACAAGACCACGAGCTAAGCATTCACCCACTTTCCTTCCTTGAATACCCCTATAGAACTTCAAACAATAACAGCTTACCTACTACCTCTTGGTAAAACTCTTTCTGACTCCACTACAGCAGCTGACTACCTTGACTCCCTTCTTTATAAGCCCCACACGAGCTCAGTGCTGCTCATGTGGCCCCTCCCTTCCCTTCCAGGATTTGGCCCTCACCTCACCTGGGGGACACAGCACAGGTGGTGCTCCATCAATGCATGGCTCTGGAGGGGAATTTTCACCTCCTTGATCACAAGGTGAAGTAGCCTCGGCTGATGATCAAACCTGAAGTGCTCCTTATAAAGTGAAAAAAAATCTTTGCATACTGCTGCTCCAGTGAAGGGGTTGGCAGTAATGGCATAGGATAACAAGGAAGAGAAGGAAATCTATAGGCAGCTACAAATGATGGTGAATCCAGTAAGAACCTAAAAATCTGAGGTATAGGTTTGTCCTGAACAGGAATAAGAAGGGAGTAAATAGCCTGTCCTGTCAAGCGTCCTTAATGTCTGTGTACTAATGCAAGAATTAATAAACAACCAAAATTCTCTTTACGTGAGGAAAATGGAGGGTAGTGATTCAAACAGGAAAGGTGCAGTGCTTAGATGTGTGGTTTAGCCCTGTTAACAGGAAGGCTGAAGAAATGTCAGGATCATTAGTGATTGGTTTGGAGCAGGAAGATGAACCAGATGGCCCCTCCACTGCCCTGTCTGTGAACAGTGTTGGTTTACATAGGGTCTGGATTTGTTAGCACTAAGCCAACTCAAAAAAAAAAAAAAAAAAAAAAAAAAACAGTACAAAAAGCCCACAGCTTTGGGGCATTTAATGGGCTTTATGGCATTTGCACACAGAGAGGTTTGTTTCAGCATTTCCTTCAGTTTGGGAATATTTACACTCTGGACTTGCAGATGTTCAGTGCCACCTTTGACACTTCTGTCTAGCCTTGCTATTCACAGAATAGTCTCAGATCTTATTAAATTTGCTTTCCCTTTTATGAGTTTGAATTTCTCATTTTTATATCTGTCCACTCTAGTATAAAACCACAATTAAAGATTTCTGATATGCTTAGATAAAGCAGGCGTTATTTTTATCGTGACCCCTCCTTTCCCAAACAAGCGTGGCTAATCTTTTCAAAGCAAGCATGCCTAATCTTTCCAGGCTCTCTTCAAGGCAGTGCATTATCATGACCCAATTATTCCCCAAAAAGAGATAGCTGGAAAATTTCTATCAGGATGATTTGCTCACAGAAAATGCCGTTATTGCAAATATGGAAAAAGCCTTCGTATCACTTAGAATGGTTCTCTGCTGAGGAAATTCAGATCAAATATTTCCTGCTCTATCAGCTTGTTGAGATCTTGTTTGTTGCCCCATTCTGTTCCTAATTGGATAAGACAGAGCTGCATTAACCCGAGGTGTGTGTGGGTTCACTGTTGTACAGTGCCTGGGAATTGTACATTTCAGCAGGGCAGACACTACTGGTTTGGTTTTCATTTTCTGACTTTCGCTTTGAATTCCCCAGATAAACAAAAGTAAATTTCATTTAATGTCTTGAAGTCGACTAAAGAGAAAAAAACTGAGCAATCCATGCCATTCACCTCTGCACTTCCCCCCCAGGCTGAATGCTCTAAGCAGAGGAGGGATCCAATCTCACTGGTCTGTCCAAGGAAAACAGGGTGTTACCCACTGACAAGCTCTCTGCTTGGACAGGGATAAGAAGTTGGGCCCAATAATCCTTGTGGGTCCCTTTCAACTCAGAATATTCTGTGATTCTGTTGAAAGGTCTCAGCAGAGTTTTGACCAACTTGGTCAACTTGAAAGATTTTCAAATTGCAGTGAGTAAATTTGGGATTATTTCTCAGTTTCTCAGTGTTCTGACTTTAAACTAGGCATATTGCTAAAAAACCCAATAAAAGCCACAAACAGACACTCTTCTGAAGTCACTTCACCCCTATAAAATTGTTGTGACATTAATGAAACTGCCTTCTGGAGAGACTAGAAAGTTTGACATAAAGCTTTCCAACCCCAAAACAACATCAGGGTATGTTAAAGATAAATTTTCCCATTTTCAAGGCAGCGGTACAGCCTTCTGTGGGAGACCCAGCTCCACAGCTCACCCCCAGGCACTGCAATGGTTGCTCTCCATCCATGAAAAAGGAATGTACCTTTTATCCTGAGCACTGAATGACCATTCACTTTGCTGAAATGTTATTTCTTTTTATAACTGTGCAACAGCTTAAAAGAGGGATGAAAGAGGAGAAGGAGCCCAGTGCTGTCACTTTGGAAAGCTTTTATTGTGATCAACCTTACAGCGCTTTTTGTTGTACAATACAAAGAACGTTTAATCTCTCCTGGCTGGCACATTCCCTCCAGGGTTTTACTCCTGACAATGGGAGCTTTCACTTTGACCGTGGCTAAAATAATGTCAAACCCCATTGCAGGGCACTGCTTTGACTCTGGATACATTTGGGAAATTCTAAAGAATCAATGACTTCATGAGATGAGGGGGAAAAATAGGATTACTGTTGGAGAGGGCTCATATATTTCATACATTTTGCTTCCCATGAATACCACCATCTCTAAAATGCCATTCACTTTGCTGCTGCAAATACTTGCATGGTTTGTTGTTTGAATGATTTAAAAAAAAAAAAATTAGATAAGATTTCCGTAACACTTGGTCTTCATAAATCTCTGGATGTGCAATCTCAGGGCACTCCAGGTAGGAAGGGAGGAAGCAACAGAGATACTGGAGCAGAGCCACTGAGCCAGTGCTTAGAAGTGCTGAGCTATTTGCAGAACTGAAATGTCAGCTTTTCCTTCTTTTTTTCATGTTGGTTTGAAGGGAAGTGAAAGAGTTTGTACATAACAAGCTTTTGCCTGGGTATTTTCTAAAGCTTAGGCCAAATTCAACCTCTGAGTTTTGGCAAAGGTTACTAGAGAGTTATAATTCAAGAAGTTCCTCTGTACTTCCATATTTGTGCCAGGCCTACAGACCGACAGATGGAAACTCCCCAAAAGGATTTGGGTCCGTACACAGAGAGCCAAACAAGTGATTTCCATCTGCATGACTTCATTTCAGTTGGGAGAAGCAAACAGCAAACAAGAAGTGTAGGTCTAGAGAAGTCCCATGAAACAACACAAACTCATGCATCTTGTTACATAAATTTCTCTATGGTTTCCACACTAAAGGACATTTCAGATAAACATCCAGATTGAATCTCCATATCCAATGGAAGCCAAAGTTAAACTTGAATTTTCAGGCTCTGCCAGAGTGGCAAATAAAATAGTATCAGAGATAGAAAAGTAAATGTGTTGGGTTGTGTTACCAGCATTTGTGCAGCTCCTGGTGAGGTTGGTGGAGAGGGTCCCAACAGGTCCTGTGGAAAGACTGTCATCTTCACAACACTGGTCCTGCAGGTCAGAGAGAAATGCTGCCACATTTCTGCCTTGTGTGGGACAGTCCTGCACTGTGAACAGCAAATAAACAGGGTGACAGTGGCATTAGACAACACAGTGGCTGAAAGGTTTTGGCATAAACTAGTCGGGAAACATTTCTGCTTGTGTCACACACAGGGTGTCAAAGCCAAGCATGCAAATGGTCTAGCAGCATGCAAATGAAAAAAAAAATAGGTCAAAAAAAATCCCTTATACTGACTAGTTTCTCATTCAGTATTTTGATCAATCCTGATTGTGATCCTGATGAAATAAAGAAGAAAGAATAAGTAGACATAAGAGAAACTGTGCTGGATAAGCTCTCTTTGCTCTGATAGGTACTAGATAGTAAATAATCCATCTTGGAGAAACTTTGAGAGTCTGGAGTTTTCCCATCTAGAGATGTTTCTTAGTCTTGAGTTAGATATAAATGCAGAAGGCAGGTCACACTTATGCTGCTGCTCTGTAACCTTCCAGATGATAGGTAATTACTCATAAATGTGTCCTACAGATGCTCCAGGGATCCATCTGCACATGTCTGCCTGAGAGTTGTTGGTTCTGGATGAGTTCAGAAGGGACCAGAGCTATGTGAAGAGAGACAGAGTTAGGGGATGCTTAGTAATTCAGTTTTGCAGTCTCTGAATGGAAAATAATAAAGCAATGATAAGGTGGCTCGTATTATGATGACAGCATTTTTGGAAACCAAATACTTGTACAGCCATGGGAAAGCAGGGAGCTGACCAAGTGGGGGCAGGCAGCCCACCTCCAGCTCCAAGACAGCATCACCTATGGCCACTGTGGGGCTGAGACCCAGTTGGCCATCCTATAAAAAATTCCACCACCCCTTAACAATACATCCCTGGGCCTCATTATCTTTTTTTCAGTGGAAGGGGCATTTTTTTAAACATCCATCCTCAGTCTGCTTTGTTACGACTGAAGCTCACCGTTGTTTGCCCATCCCCTGTGGCAGTGGTGACCACCCTGGTTACTGCTAGAATTCAGCTCTTCCCTGTGCTGGGGTGGGCACAGGCTGCACCCCCTCAGCAGATGGGCTGGGCTGGCACAGCCTGCAGGGAGTGGGGAGTGAGATGCATAAGGTGTGTGGAGGTGGGAGCACAGAGCATTCCATCGTCTGGTTTGACTGACTGGAGACAACCAGGGAAATAAATGATGCCCAAAATCATCCAGCATAAGTTAGGCCACTATACTGCTTTATCTGAAATTAGTAGGGAGGCTTGAAATTAATTCAACACAAAGAGA